TCACAATTTTACCTCAATCACTTGTTTGCATTCAGAATTTCCTCCCTCTTGGAATGAAACCATGTCCTGGGTGAAAAAAGGCATGGAGGCCAAGGGAGTAAAAACTGGATTTTTTCCCTCTGTTCTCACACAGGGCACGAACATCTGTCAGCAGCGTCAGGGCAATGGTTGAACTGGAAAAGCAGCAGAGGTGGCTGCAGGATGAAGGTGATGCTCTGCTCACAGTTCCAAAGGGAGTGCTCAGCCCTGTCCCTGCTTTACAGGGAGGATTTGCAGCAGGAAATGCCTCTGTGTTAATCCACCCCTTTGCTGGTGGTGTGGAAAGTTGGCAGAGCTGTAGAACCCCACGTGAAACTTTCCTGCTTTGGTAGAAATGTGAAGGCTTAAGAAATTTTCTGAGCGTGCTCTGGGATAGCAATGAACCTGGCCTGCGTTTTGGTTTCTTCATAAATTGTTTCAGCTTGGTTCTGTGAGCAACAGCAACTCTGCTCTAAATTCACTGCAAGGAGTTCAGGGAGGAGCTGGGGGAAGGAGGCAGGATAAGGAAACCAGGAGGTTTGAAATTTGAGAAAACTGGAATATTCCTCATGGCAGCAGCACTTGGGGTGGGACAGTCGTGTGCGGGCACCTGAGGGGGAGCACCAAGAAGGAATTTCTTCCAAGAAGGAATTCTCCAAGAAGGAATTCTCCAAGAAGGAATTCTCCAAGAAGGAATTGTGTTTCCTCAGCAATAACCCACCCATCAGTGCAGCAGGTGCAGCAAACCAGGCTGCTCCCAGCCACATCCAACCTGGCCTTGACACTGCCATGGGTGGGGGCAGTCCTGAACAGATCAATCTGCTTACACAGGAACATCTCTCACCATAGTTGCTGTAAAGATTTGCAAATTGGTGCTAATAATGAAAAAGTTTGTCTTTAAAAGATAAAAGCGCTGAAGGGTAGCGATGCAGAGGCTTGTCCAAAGGGGTAAGTGTGGGAGGCAGGGTAAGAGCTGAAATTCTGGCTGCCAATCAGGGCTTTTCACCAGCATTTACAGCTGATATTTGTACCTCCCTTCTAAAAATATAAAAGTGTATTTGCCTTAGAAACAGCAGGAAGGAGAAAAGATTTGAGAAGAACCTCACCTTCCTTTCCTAGTTTATAGTATTTGATATTAATATTCCAAAACCTGATTATGCTGAGCTGGGTGCTGAATCTCAGCTTCCCTCACCACCTCCCGTTAGGAAATCTGACCAATTCAATCAGAGCTGGCTTCGAATTCTTGAGGACATTTGCCTTTGCTGTATCTTCTTTCTGATGAGCACCCGTGTCTAAGACCCTGTGGCTGTCTTGGGAACATTAGCAGGGGAGATAAATTAGGCTGTTTGACATCATCTTGTGGATAAATATTTTCTTTTAGGATTCTCAAAGGCCCTAAGTAAAGAGCAGGGGAGGCTGTGACAGATGCTGTCGTGCTAGGAGAACTCTCCTTGTGCCAGTGACCCCAGTGAATAATACACAGGATCTTTTACACTCTGATTTTATATCCTCAGCACTGGGGGCTTTAAATATTAACTTAATTTTTCAGTTTCTACAACCGGCTGGAGGGGCATTTGTTCACGTGATTTCTCTTTGCATTATCAAATCTTATAATGAAAAAAGTTAATCAGTATTTGATACCTTGTTCTTCTTTTAAGTTTGGGTTTGTTTGTATTTTTTTCCCCACTTTGAATTGTCTTTTGATTCAGTCTATGAAATATTCTGGTGGGACACTTTCAATACTAAAAAGTTTGGGCCTAGACCCAAACAATTTGATTTCAGGCCACATTCCTTCTCTGTCCAGGAACCTTGGGAAGCATGACATGAATTTTGGTTCCATATCAATCATATCAACATTCCTTTCTTCCTCCTCTTCCAGCAAAGTCTTTTTGAGTCCCAGCAGCACGGTGAGTAGTTGGTTTACACACACACAGCCACCCCTTGTGCTGCTGCTCACCCCATAGCAGCCTGTCAGCATCAAAAAATAAACCTGAAGGCAAGACACTGGAGGAGGTCTACTCACAGCACCTCGATTCACTGCCCCCAAGAATATTATTTACTATGATCTAATACTTTCTATTAATACTTGGAGAAACAGGATGAGCAGCTCTGAAGTAAAAGAATTCTGGAATTCTTGTTAGAGCATGTATCCTTTCCTAAAAACCTTTTTGTTTGTAAGGCGAGAGCTAATCCCTAACAATGCCTTTGCTCCCAGCCTGGTTTCATCCAGGAAAAAAAAAAGATTGGCCAGCTGTAAAAATGGAGGTGTCAGAGAAATAGATGGATATTCAATTTGGAGATAATTCTTTGCATTGTCCAACCAAACCTTTCTTTTCCTTTTTTTTTTTTTTTTTTTTTTTTTAAAGTGCTCTCCACAGTATTTCCACACATTAAACCAAAAGGTGCTGGGGCAGAGGAGCCTTGCTGTGGGGAATGGTGAAAAAACTGAGAAGGAACTCACTGCTGGTAGGTTAAAAATAGACACGGTGGCACAAATATGTATTTAAATGATTTAAATGTCCTTTTGCAATGATACAATGCTTGTTAAGTCCAGAGATGTCAGGAGGTTAAATATAGCACCTGGGATGTCAGGACATTTATCCATCATGCTCTGGGTGGCTCCTGTAAGATAAGCAGGACTGACTGAACTCAATATTTAAATATGTTAAGTACAAGAAGATATTTTTTGCTTTAAATCTTAGTGACTGAAATGCAAAACAACCTCTTTTTTCTGCCTGAGTAGTTTTGCAGCGTTCTCTCTTTAGCTCAGAACTGCTGAGCACGTGCTCATTTGTGTGTCGTGGATAAACCTGGCCTGGTGTGTTAACCTGGGGCAGAGCTGCCAGGCTCCACCTAGGGCACAGGGAATGCTTTTGAAATATTTTGTCCTCCAGAAAGTCAAGTTTGTATTTCCATAGAAAGTCAAAAGCTGGACTTGATGATCTTGGAGATCTTTTCCAGCCTTAATGTTTCTATGGTTTTGTGAATATTCCATCAGAATATTCCATCAAAAATCAGACATAAGTTTTCACAACAAAGCAATTGAAAAGAAAATAGGAATATCAACCATTGGTATTCCCTTTACCTCATACATGTTAGGAACAGGGAGATTTGGAGTCGCCATCCCTGGAGGTGTCCGAGGAATTGCTGGAGGTGGCACTCAGGGCTCTGGGCTGGGGACAGGGTGGGCTTTGGGCACAGCTGGGATTCCATGGGCTGACAGGGCTTTTCCAGCCTCAGGGATCCTGGGGTTCTCCTTGCCCACACAATGGCCACAGTTTTCTCAGAGCTGGTCCTTGAGATTTGGAGCTGAAGGAGCAAAATGCAGGAATTAAATATTTTCTCAAGTGGCCCAACAGCACCTTCCTCCCCTCTTTGTACTCTGATGGCAGAACAAAACTCTTATCTTCAGTTCAACTTTTAATTTCACCAACAATCCGTTTGTTCTCAGCTTCCTTCTGTAAATTCCATTGGTTACTCCATGCTTTTTCCCAGCCCTGAGCTGTGCTGCTGAAGATCTGCCACACTAAAGACAGCTGCATTTCAGGGGCAGAAAAAGTGGTGCTGGCACCCTGCGTGTCATTCCAGCTTTGTTTAGTGTCTTTCTAAACAAGATGTCAAACAGCAGTGTAAAATCTGAAGGTGATGTTCCAGTAACACTTGTGGAGTATCACAGAGGGAGAAACTCTTTGCAGGAACTTCCAGGAACTTCCAGGACTGGGCTGGAATGACAATAATGAATTCTTCAATAAGGAAAGCTGGCCCTTCACTCCATTAAGGTTTGTTATTGATAATGAAGATGTCACGTGTGGCATCTATTGAGAAGCAACTCTTGGGAGGAAAAGGAGCCTGCGAGTATTCCTGGAGTGCACACATGGAGGATCAGGAGCAGAGAGCAGCAGGTTACGTTGAGGTTGCTCTCCAGAGACCCCAACAACATGCTGTGCTAATTTCTAGACAATTTCAAAACAGGTTAAGAACGTTAAATAGACAGAAATCAGATTAAAACGGGAAGGACTGGCTAGTAAAGCAAAATGGAGAGTAATTGAAAATGGCTCGGCCAAAGGAGACAGGGAGGGGTCTGCAGCTCTGGGCAGAGCCTAAAATACTTGGCAGAAGTGAACGAGATATGATATTTCATCTGGATATAAATATGAACCTCTGGAAAGAGTTAAGGAAGAAGATGTCTCTCAAGGGCTCCTGAGGACCACTTATTGAATTATGTGCTCTAGCACATGGAAAGGGATCATTGTTGATATTGGCTTTTGAATGCACCTCGTTGAAGAACCAAAGTCAACTCTATTTGTCAGTCGAGTGATCCCCCAAGAAGTCACGTCTGTTATCATCACCCTGGTTCTGCTCCGTGCACCACGGCATTCCTGACCTTCCAAAATACCAGGGTTGCTCCCCGTCACTTGATCTGTTTATCGACTCTTCTTGGGCTTCCTTCATCAGGGACGTTGGCTCTTTGTTGGGTTCCTTCCCTGCAAACCGTCGCTTTTCACACGTTCCTGGGTCTGCGTGATCAGCTATGAAACATTTCAGAAGTGATAAAAACATTGACACATGGTTTGCGTCAAGGTGAAAAAGCACTTCAGGTGTTCTTAGGGGGTGAAATGAAAGACATGTTTATATTAAAATTGAGTTTGCGGTGTGGACTCCTCAAGTTCAGAGACTCTTGAATTTGGATGGTTATTCAGGCACATCATAGGAATGAAACTGCCTCCATCAGCTGAAATTCAATGTCACTATCAACTCTGATAATTGTGTTTTTTCCATTGGAGCACTCCCTTGGCTTTGCCTGGGGCTCCATCTCGCCGAGCCCTGGTGAGCTCCAGCCGAGCTCTGGTGTGTTTTGGGTTTCCTGAGGAGCACGGAGGTGCCCGGCTCCCTTTCCCTGATGCTGCTGAGAACAGGTGCCCTCCCTCGGGGTCACCGAGTATATTTAGGGATGAAACTCGAGCGGGCTGGAGCCAGATTGGCTGTGTGGGCCACACGTGTCACCGGGAGCCACCAAACCCCCTCGCTCTCGCCCAGTGCTGCTCAGGAGGGAAGACTGGAGAGCCTTTGCTCCAAAGGATATTTACTGGATGTCACTGGTAAGGGCATTTTAAATGCATTTCTCTTCTTTTCTTTAGAAGAGGATCTTGAGCTGTTTCCCCATTCTGTAGTTTTTTGGGAATACTTGTTGTGCTTTGCCCATGGAAGTCAGGTTTTCTGTCTGAATAACCGGCTGCGGGTTGGAGGAGGAGGAGGAAAAGACCTGGAATGGGGTTTGGAAGTGTGGCTGAAGGTTGTAACAGTGACAGGTTGAAGAGGTTGTGTTTAAATGCAAGCCCCACTTCCTGAGTTTATTCACACACCTCTGCCTACTGCGTCCCACGACTCGTCCCTCGTTATTTGAGTTATTCTTCATTTATTTTAATAGAATACAACATGGTTTTCCCAATTGATTTTTGGCCATTTTTCTCAGCCCGTTGGGACTAAAAAGGGCCAGTATTCCGTGTTCCTATATTTAACCTGCATGACTTGACTTCCCTTGCCTCAGAAGGAATTGCAGTTTAGCCAGCTCAACCCAAGTGCCCCATCAGTTGGCAGGATTAGCTTACACGGCAAATATCCCTGGACTCAGGAGCAGCTGTTCCAAAGCCTCATCCCCTCCCAACATTAGAAACAGGGCTGCAGACGCTGGTGGAAAATTGCAGCTTTGCCTCACAGCAAAATCAGTGTGTGAGTTAATTAGTTCAAAGGGTCTGACAATAATCTGTGCTTTGTACTTCAGCCAACTCTATGGATTTTCATCTTTTCCAGGTCTGAAGAAACAGAGAGAAAAAACCCGCAAGAGTTTAAAAAAAAAAAAACAACCCCAGAGCATCTCTGTAGGCTGATGCTGGGAAGACAGAAATTGCCTCATTAACCTAAGGTCACTTAAAAAAATATTTTAAAAATTTTTCCACATTATGATCTTACTTATGAATGAATATAATAGAATATTAATCTCCCACTCAAACAGGAGCTTGAATGATATAATGAAATAGTGTAGAATAGTCACAGAGAAAAGAAAAAATGCTTCAAATAATTCTGTTGTAATGAAAATATCACATCATGTTTCAAGAGATCTCTTCTTTATCTCTTTTATTTTATTTATCTCTTTTATTTTATTTTCATTGGATCCAGTGTTGTTGTTATAACTGGAATGAGGTATTTGTCCAGAATTATAGTTTATATCAATATGTTTGAAACTTAATCCAATGTTTTTCCTTAACAGTCCAAGTAATGCCAGATCCCAACTTTATTTAGGGTCTGACTAGTTACTAACCATGACCCCAAGGGCTTTATGAGCTTGACTTGTACTTTCTCATGGTACTTTCAGTCATGGGCTAATACTATTTATTCACATTTTCACCTGCTGCATGACCAGTGAGTGGGGGAGAGACAGAAGCAAACCCTCAGAATGGAGGAAGAAGAATATGAGGAAGTTGTGGAGGTAAGAAGAAAATGCGAGAGTAGAAATGTTTGTTTCCTGCCTGGGACTGCATCCATTAATCACCTCACTGAGATGCTGCTCAGGAGCAGAGGTTGCTGTTTGCTCTCTGAAGATTAGGGATGATTAGACATCTATTAAATAGTTTCATCACTAAAACAACAACAACAACAACAACAGTTGCTCTCGCAGGAGCAAAGTCTCCTGGCTCCTGTCATAGTTTCTCAGTTTAAATAAGGACTGGAACCATCCCACACTCACAGTGCGAGGTTTTCTGATTACTCCCTGCATAATTATAGATGCACTGGGCCAGCTCTTTTCCCTCCTGGCTTGCCCTCTGTCACCCAATCCATGCTGGAGATGGCTCTGGAAGCCCCTTTCTAGCCCTGCCTCTGCAGAAATGCAGCAGCTTTGTGCCACCAGGGGACCACAGACCAATTTAGCCTGGGACCCTGCAGGGATGGAGCCGGGCTTAAGTGACAGGACAAGGGGGGAGGACTTTAAACTGACAGAGGGTAGATTTAAATTAGGTATCAGGAAGGAATCCTTCCCTGTGAAGGTGGGGAGGCCGTGGCATGAGGGTGCCCAGAACAGCTGGGGCTGCCTCTGGATCCCTGGAAGTGTCCCAGGCCAGGTTGGAGCAGTCTGGGATAATGGGAGGTGTCACAGCCCATGGCAGGGGGTGGAATAGAGGATCTTTAAGATCCCTTTCAACCCAGGGCATTCTGTGATTCCATGATTCTATGTCCATGGAGGTGCATCATTGATTCATTTGCCAGTCGGTCATTTAAACTCAGGAAACGGAATAAAAAATTCCCCAGGAATTGGGCAACTTACAGCTGGAGCCACGGGAGCAACTTTGTTACTGAAACAATACACAAAATTAACAGTGTGGTCTTATTTGGTGCATTGCTACCACTCTGAAATTAACTTACGTGTTATGAAATACGCAAAGTCTTGTAAAAAGTCACTCCGTGTTTGAGGAAAAGGAGATTATAAATGTAAACATCATACAACTCATTTCCACCACGCTGTGATTTCGGGTGGTGTGAGGGCACTGCCAGCTTTATATATTTCAAATAGTGAATGAAGTAAAGACAAATTATTTGCCAGTCAGAGTAGTTAAATGCATTTTGCAAACATCGCTCATAAAGCCAATTTTGAAGACATTTTACTACCTAGCTACAATGACACCAACTCTTCGTTAAATTACTTATTCCATGTTACTTACAATCGCTTTTATAGTTCCTGTGCATTGTGTGCTCTTTTTAATGAATATTTATTTTGCTCTCATTGTTTATTTATTCCGGCATGGTATTTTGGGCTTTTTGTTCACACAGCCCCATTTAATCCTTTGTTTTTAATTTTCAAAGACCACCTTGCTGTAACCACATCCCTTGGGCTGAGGCGACACTGCTTTAGTAGCTTCCCTTAGGATACTCATGGGGAGATGCTAAATAAAAGAGGAACAACAGCATCTGGTACAATTTTAAGCCTTTTCACAATTTTCTTAATTCCTCTATCAATCCAAGATTTTAAACCTATTGGCAATCCATCTTCTGAAGGAGAAGGACATGATCGTAAACTATTGAGTGGCTGAGATATTGCTGAGGATTTTAAAATGCTATTTTTTACCTTCCTCTGGAATTATGAGCCAATACTTGATGTTGTAGCTGTCTTGGGATGTGCAAACATCTCCTGCCGAGTTACTTGAGCTTTTCGGAAGGTTTTGTAGAAATTTTGTGGAAGATTTCGCAGGGGGTTTGTAGAAGGTTTTGTAGAAAGTTTGTGGGAGGTTTTTTGTGGAAGAATTTGTAGGAAGTTTGTGAAAGGTTTTATAGACAGTTTGTGGACGGTTTTGTAGAAAGTTTGAGGAAGGTTTTGTAGAAGGTTTGTGGAAGAATTTGTAGGAAGTTTGTGAAATGTTTTATAGAAAGTTTGTGGATGGTTTTGTAGCAAGTTTGAGGAAGGTTTTGTAGAAGGTTTGTGGGAGGTTTTTTATGGAAGATTTTGTAGGAAGTTTTTGAGATGTTTTATAGAAAGTTTGAGGAAGGTTTTGTAGAAAGTTTGAGGAAGGTTTTGTAGAAGGTTTGTGGGAGGTTTTTAATGGAAGAATTTGTAGAAAGTTTGTGAGAAGTTTTATAGAAAGTTTGAGGAAGGTTTTGTGGGAGGTTCGTGGAAGGTGTCAAAGTGGGTCCAGCATGGAAATCACCTCAGAACATCCCAGTATGTCACAGCTTGGGCAGTACAGCTTGGTCCCTTGAACTAACTTTGAGGAAAAGCCCTCAGAAAGGGGCTTAAATTTTAACAACAATTTTTTTTAGGTTCAAAGGGTTTTCCGTTCCCGCAGCTGCGGGAAGGGACCCCAAGCTCGGAGGAGCCTTTCCAACACAAATCCCGCATTTCCCCATTTCCTCCTGGTGCAGGTGAAGCACATCCCGCAGACAGCGGCTGCTGTTGGTGCAGCAGTGTCTTTAAAAATCGATTTTCCGTCATTTCTGAGCGGGAGCCGCGGCCCCGGCCGCCCCCTCAGCGCCGCCGCCATTTCCGCGGGACGGCGCCGCCGCGCGGCCGCGGGCGGGAAGTGCCGGGCGGGGAATAAATATTTTTAAAAAAATATTCCCAACAAAAAGCTCCCCTGGCACAACCTGCGCCTGTTTCCTATTGTGCTGTTTCGATTATTCCCCGGGAGCAAAGCCCGATCTGGCTGCAGGTCGTGGCAGGAGTTGTGCAGAGCCAGGAGGTCCCTCCTGAGCCTTCCCCGGGCCGAGCCCGTTCCCGGCTCCCTCAGCCGCTCCTGCGGCTCCCGATCCTCTCCCAGATCCTTTCCCAGATCCTTTCCCAGATCCTCTACCAGATCCTCTCCCCGATCCTCTCCCCGATCCTCTCCCAGATCCTCTCCCAGATCCTTTCCCAAATCCTCTCCCAAATCCTCTCCCAGATCCTCTCCCAGATCCTCTCCCAAATCCTTTCCCAGATCCTCTCCCAGATCCTCTCCCAGATCCTCTCCCAGATCCTCTCCCAAATCCTCTCCCAAATCCTCTCCCAAATCCTCTCCCAGATCCTCTCCCAGATCCTTTCCCAAATCCTCTCCCAGATCCTCTCCCAAATCCTCTCCCAAATCCTTTCCCAAATCCTCTCCCAGATCCTCTCCCAAACCCTCTCCCAGATCCTTTCCCAAATCCTCTCCCAGATCCTTTCCCAAATCCTCTCCCAAATCCTCTCCCAAATCCTCTCCCAGATCCTTTCCCAGATACTCTCCCAGATCCTCTCCCAGATCCTCTTCTAGATCCTTTCCCAAATCCTCTCCCAGATCCTCTCCCAGATCCTCTCCCAGATCCTTTCCCCAATCCTTTTTCTTGTCCCGGCTGGAAAAGATGCTCCACTGGACGTGGTGCTCACAAATAAGCCAGAACTGGTGGGAAATGCAAAGATCGAGGTCTGCAGTGACCATGGCACAACGGAGCTGAATGTACAGGGAGCAATGAGCAAAATAAATGGAATTATCCCAGAGTTTCGAAGGGAAGAATTGGGGCTGCTCGGGGAAAATCCCATGGGAAGCAGCAAAGGCACCCAGGGTAGTTGAGTGATCCTTCAGCGTGATTTTCCCTGAGCACACAGCTCAGCCCAAAGTGCAGAAATCAAACAGCAGAAGGGTGGAGGAACACAGAGCTCCTGACTGAGGAAAATGACAAAAAAAAAATATTTATAGGTATATATATACTGAAGGTGAAAACAGGAGCAGACAACGTTATTATTTAAAACATTATGAACTCCACTCCTACATCAATGGGCAATGTTCAGCTGGATTTGGTCTTCAAGGAAGGAAAGAAGGAAGATCCAGGGAGCTGCAGGCTGGTCAGCCTCGCTCCGTTCTTTGGGAAGGCTGTGGAGCAAATCCTTTGAGAAGTTATTTTTAAACACGTGAAAGACATGAAGGTCGTGTGGAGAAGCGAACACTCAGTTATCAAGAGCAATCTATGGCTGATGAACCTCATTAATTGTTATAATGATTTCACAGCTGCTGGACAAGGGGAGACCAGTGAAGGTTGTGTACCTGGTCTGCTTTAGGGACACGTCCCATTGTGGTTTATTCCCCAAATTTATGAGATTATAAATTATGGGGGGATAATGGGCAGTAAAATGGGTGGAAAATCAGCAGGCTCAGAGTTGTGGTCAGCAACAAAGTTTAACCAGCAGCCAGAAATTATTGGTGTCCTTGTAGGAGAAATCCTGAGCACAACAGTCATGAGTGTCACCAGATAAAAAACCAGGAAAATCCTGGGGTTTAAATGCTGATTCTTTTAATGTGGTCATCAATGTCGTCCCTCTTGTGGGTAAAATTAGGTAACAATATTTCATTAATTACCTGGGCGATTATTAGTTGGGGAATGTATGGAATAAAAATCCAATCATTAATGCAAAATTTGAACAGATATTCAGAGTTATCAAGTGACGCCATAAGCACCTGTGAACTAAAATCCTGTTTCTCCAGAAATGTGTTTTCAAACAGCTTCACAGAAGCTACAATTTGCTGATCTGGCTTAACAATGATGTTTTTTCTCTTATTTTTTTCCAAAGTACTACATTGAGGAGATGGTTATTGAGGAGGGTGAGCCACATGAGGTAAAGGTCCCTGTCATGCTGCATGTAGCACATAAATGCATGTAATTAACATGGAACACTAAATGAGCAGCCTTTTGTATTTTGAGGTTTAATTTTTCACGCTAAGCACACAAATATCAGTGAACAATTGCTGCTTAATATTTTATTTTTGCTTCAAGTCCCTGCTGTGTGATGATCTAAGATCAGTTTACATGTATCAGTTCTGTTCCCTTCGCCTTGTGTAATTTTACCGAAAAATTACAGTTTTGCAGATTTTTCATCATGTAGTGGCAACAAATATTTGGGTCACCAAGGAGTGACTGCCATAATTTGAAATTCTACCTCTGAAACAGCTATAACCCAACTCTCTGCTGTGTTATCATGAAATATTCTCTATGGCAGGGGCTTATGCAGAAGCAGAAGTTATTAAATCTTGATGCATTTTCAGCTCTGTCTCATTGATGCAAATAACTCTCAGAACTCTGACCTTCATGAATTCTGTTTTAAAGGCAATTTTTTATAAAGCTAATTGGTATGAAATAAAACCTGACACTTATTTGGGTGGGTTTGGGGTACATTTTTTAGTTGTGATAATTATTTTTAGATGCTTTTCATTAGAATCTTAGTATTAATACTAAGGATAATATCCTTAATATCTTAGTATTAAAATTACTGCTTGCAGCATGACTATGTTGATAAGTAAGTGTATAAAGCATTTAAATTGATTGGAAATTAATGCATGTAGAGCAGAGGCAGCTGGAGCCCCACTCTCCCAGACCCTCTGGAGAATAATTCCATGAGTTTGATGCAGGAATCAGCCAGGGAGTTCATTCCTTGTGGGTTTTTTTTAGGGTGGGTGATATACAAGGAGCACAATGGTAATCCCAGTAGGAAAAGTGTCCCTGATTTTCTGTCTCCATGAGGATCTGGATGACAGCAGAGCATCCTTTCACCATCTCGGGGGGGGTGAGAAACACGCATCCTAATGAACTTTTACAGCTGTAAAACAAGTGATGATTGATTTTTGTTCATCCCCAGGTGGTCACTGAGACCATCAGCACAGACTACTCAGTCCCTGAGACCACCACAACCACCTACACAGCTGAGCTCACCCAGCTCAGGGCAGTCAAAACTCTTATCCTGATGAACTTTTACAGCTGTAAAACAAGTGTTACTGATTTTTTTTTAATTTCCAGAGATCACTGAGACCATCAGCATGGACTACTCAGTCCCTGAGACCACCACCTACACAGCTGAACACACCCAGCTCAGGGCAGTGAAAAACACTTAAATAACAAACTTTTACAGCTGTAAAACAAATTATTATTGATTTTTTTTTTGATCCCCAGGTGGTCACTGAGACCATCAGCACAGACTACTCAGTCCCTGAGACCACCACAACCACCACCTACACAGCTCAGCAGACCAGCTCAGGGCAGAAAACTCTTATCCTAATGAAATTTTACAGCTATAAAACAAGTGATTATTGAATTTTTTTTTTTAATTTCCAGGTGGTCACTGAGATCACTGAGACCATCAGCACAGACTACTCAGTCCCTGAGACCATCAGCACAGACTACTCAGTCCCTGAGACCACCACGACCACCACCTACACAGCTGAGCACACCCAGCCCTCTAGGGAGGATGCAGCCCCTCCCATCAGGAAGAAGACAATCCGCACAAAAGTGGACCCATCCAAGTTTCTGACACCTTACCTGGAACACAGCAATAAAATGAAGGACTTATTCAGCGAGGTCGGTTGTCCCTTATCTCTTATTTCTTGAGGAAGACCAGCTTTGAAAATGTTTTACAGGGGTTGCTTGATAGTTATATTGCAAATATCTGGGTTTGTCAATACTAAGCTCATGGGGAGAATATAATAAATTAGAGGTGATCCAAGTTAGAGATGGATTTTTTCTGTTGTGTCAGATGGAATAAACTCAGCTGGCTAAAGTAAGCAGAAGTGCAAATGTCATTGAATAATTTTAGTTAATATTATTGAATAATCTGTCCCAAATTCCTGTCCTAACCAAGTAAATATGGCAACAATTTATTATATAGTTCTGCCAGAGCTCAGGGATATGTCTTAATTATTTTTATAATTTTTTTTTCCAGAACAAGTACAAGGAAAAATTTAGAAAAGAAAAAGGAAAGCCATATGCTTCCACAGTTGATACCCCAGAGATCCGGAGGATCAAGAAAGTGCAGGACCAGCTCAGTGAGGTGGGTAACAACTGCATTTCTCAGTTCATCCAGGTGCTGGGTGTTTATATGAAGGGTGAAAATGTCATTATTCCATTTTGTTGTTTTTTTTTTTTTAAATCAGTCAGTTTTGCTGTGGAATCAATGGGTTTTGTTGTGCTCCAGGTTAAATACCGCATGGCTGGGGAAGTTGCCAGAACCATTTGCCACGTGGATGAAAAGGCCATGGATATAGAACATGCAAAGAAAGTGTCACAGCAAGTGAGCAAGGTCGGTGCCCTCTGACTTTCCCAACACTGGTGGAGCCTGAGGTTGCTGATAAGGACAATGTTTTGACTCAGGGTGCTAAAACAACCTTTATGCAACAATTTAGAAGCACAGGAGGGATAACAGAGAAGTTGGTAAGGCAAATATAAATATAATATTAAATATTTCCAGTTGCTCTGTTCAGATATTACTACTCTGAGACTTTGATTTTGAAAAAAAAAAATATTTAAAGCAGGCAGTTTATTCTCAGAAGTAAATATTTTTTTAATGATAGAGTGACCAACTTGCTGATCTTTCCTTCCAGGTATTATATAAACAGAACTGGGAGGAGAATAAGGACAAGTACCTGCTTCCCCCTGATGCTCCAGAGCTTGTGAATGCAATAAAAAACACAGCTTTGTTCAGCAAGGTAAGAAAAGCTAACCACAGATCTAAGCAGCTGAAGTAAATTAAGCTTTCAAAGCCAGAAATTAATTAATAACGAGCATTCTGGCATTTTTCTTGTAGAAACTCTATACTGAAGACTGGGATGCAGACAAAACATTGTTTTATCCCTACAATGACAGTCCAGAGCTCAGAAGGGTGGCACAGGCTCAGAAGACTCTGAGTGATGTGAGTATCATGGCAGGGATTTGCAGGGGTCTGTGGTGTCCAGGTGACCCCAAGAATGTAAAAGTCCTCATTTTCCTGTGCAGCCAAAGGAGGAGTCTGAACGTGCAGGATCATCTTCTCAAGGTTACTTTCCCTTATCTAGAACATTCTTTCTCTACCTGCTGAGCTCTGGCCAGCAGGTCAGAGATACCAAAACCTATGTGTGCCATGTTTACAATAACATGCCAATATCTATCATCTATGTTAGACAGTGTGTCTCTACCTTAAACCAATAGAAAAGTGTCACCATCACAGCAAGACATGGAAGGCAAGAAGAAGGAGGTCAGGACACGCCCAAATCCCTCCATCTTTTCCCTTTGAACCTCATTCTAAAAACCCCAAAATTCTACTTTTTCACCCTGTGTTAACTCAGCTACCACACTGCTCAAACCCTTGTGACTTGTAATTCCTCACACAAAGTTGTCAGTTTTTTCCATGGGCTAAAATGGAAGCCACAGGTGTTTTTGTCTTCATGCCAAGGTCTCCGAGCCCTCTGCCAGGGTCTGGAGACAGCCAGGGCAGCCAGAGGGATGTCCTGGACTCCCACAGGTACCAAAGGCTGTTATGCTATGGTGTAACCTGGGCTGTACCATGGACTTTGATTAGATAGAAAAACTTCACAGTGGAACAGAAAAAAAGGGTGAGTGTGCACTGATAGCTCTGATAGTAGTGATATTTCATAGAAAAATATGTACTTGGTGTTACAAAGTAGAGCATATTGGAGTATAAATCCACTGGCAATTTGATGCTGGGCTAGGAATGAATAAAATAATTCATTTATTTAATCAGCAAGAGGACCTTGAGTAACTGCCCAAATGCAGAAACTCTCAGGGTTGTCTCCAAGTCCACTTCACCCTTGTGGTTCTGCAAAAGTGCCTCTAAAAGTCAGGAACTGGTGGGACTGGGATTTGCTGATCTTTAGATACACAGAACTCTTCAACAGGGGATTGCAGCTCTCAGTTGAAGATTTCAGTGAATTTTGCAGAGGTTCCAAAGTTCCCTGATAATACACAGATTAAAGAATTCCTGCTTCAGGGGTTGTGGGCAGAATTCCTTTTATTGATGTGGTGGTAGCAGAGTTCAATGCTGTCACGCTCAAATAAATGTTTATTTCTTCCATCCTTTCAGATTGTCTACAAAAAGGGGCATGATGAAAGGAAAGCAAAATTCACCACTCTGCCAGATCCCCCTGATGTGGAACAAGCCAAGAAGGTGACACGGCAGCTGAGTGATGTGAGTAGAACTTCTGCCCAAACCCCACTCCTGCAGGGAGAGAGGCAAAAAGAGACCTAAGGAAAAGGCAAAACACACAGGAAGACCAATTTTTGCTGGAGAAATTTGGGCCAAATTGCATAATCTTGTAATGCAGATGTCAGGTTTAAATTCCATTCAGAATTTAACTACTCTTCTTCTTTTTTAAATTTTTTTTACTGTGTATTGAAAATTATATACATTTTAAGATTAGAGAATTACAGTATTCACTCATGGTGGAGAAACCACTTTGAACCCATTTGAATCTTGTACTTCCAGAATTTAGCTTAAAAGCTAAATTGTCATCAAGAAAATTTTATAACATGGAAAAAAAGGATCAGTAACATAATTCTTTGAAATTAATAGAATAATAAGCTTTGTAGGTATCTCCAAAACTATAAAACATATATTTTAAAAAATATATTATTTTTGGCATATATGTTCTTCAGCAGTGTTAAAACATTGGAGGAGTTTTATTTTTTATGGAAAGTAATGCAACTGTGGCTGAAAATGCACCTGGACCACTGAGTCAAAACTCAGGCAGGTGTTTTGTTGTTAGACAAACTCTTTAAACTTTTAATACTTATTTCTGTGAGCTTGAATAAATAATGAAAATCACAAATACCAGGTAAATAAGAGGGTTTGCTTGTAACCAGTTCCAGCAGCAATCCCAGTAAATTCTGACTTGATGGGCAATATCCTAATATTATGTGACCAGGGAGAAAATAGAACTAAAGAAATATGTTAGAGAGGATTTATTAACCTTTTTAGGTCAGGGAAGGTACTAAAGGAAATGACTTAACACTGAAATGGTTTGGCTAAATAATATTTAAGGCGTTTTTGACCATAACTGCTAAAATAGTTATAAGGCAGGTGTCAAATATGAAGCAGCTTTAAAAAGACAGCTTTGAAAAATGAATCTGTCAGGTGAAAATGAAGCTGTGTCTTGGAGATTCAGTTTTATTGTTTTTTTTGCTTATAGGTTATTTACCATGAAGACTATAAAAACAAAATCAAAGGCAAGTGGAGTCAAACTCCGTGCTATGATGTGGCAGTTGCAAAAATGAATGCAGAAAATCTAAGTATGGTGAGTGAATCCTGCAGAAAATCTTCAACAGTTTTATCCCTGTTTATGCTCATTTGGAAAATACTGAGGCTCCATTTGTGGCACTGCTTTTTTCCTAAATAATCCCTGTTGTATGTGTCTAATTTACATTTAAATTTAATTAATGTGTTGTTTTCTGTCTCTGTTCCTAACAGAGGAAATACCAGGAAGACTTTGAAAACATGAAAGACCAAATCTACTTCATGCAGACTGAAACTCCAGAATATGAAGCCAACAAACGAGCTTCAGAAAACATCAGCAAGGTGAGGGAGCTGTGTGCCACCTGCTCAGCTTGGGAGCACTTCTGAGCTCCCACAAGTTTGTGCTGACATTGTTTGGGCAAGACCTTTCATGGTCCTTTGCCACCATAAGTTAAATAACAGGGGAATTTTTCGTGGAAAGCTGAAGATTATATAATAGAATAGATTCGTGTCACCAATAGGATGGTTTGGGTGGGAAGGGACCTTAAAGCCCACCCAGTGCCACCCCTGCCAGGGCAGGGACACCTTCCACTGTCCCAGGCTGCTCCAAGTCCCATCCAACCTGGCCTTGGGAATTTGATGCAGCAACTCATCAAACATCAAACAAATCCCTGCCCCATGCTGGGGATGGGGCAGCCACAGCTTCTCTGGGCAATCACACAGGTTAGTGAGCATTTGGCTTTTAATAGTGATTTTAAAAACCTCTTTTTTATTTTTATCCTTTCAAGTTCAAATACAGAGCAGACTATGAAAAGAAGAAAGCTATTGCAGATTATAATGTGCTCCCTGCTACAGAGAACCCATTGCTGAAGCAATTAAAAACTGCAGGAAATATTCTGAGTGATGTGAGTATTATCAATGTACAGCTACATCATTTTCAGTCATGTACCAGAAACCACACTCATAATTTCTTCACAAGGCTTCTCCTTTGTAGTATTTTTAGTGTTGTAGACCCATATTTGTCATGAGATAGCATCAGCCAGAACAATTCAGGAAAAGAATTGAATTCTCCACAGATGAGTGGAGTAGCAGCAGCAGTGGCACATGGATGGCTAATTAGTGTATAGTTCATTTAGATCCTTGTGGATAATGAATCACAAAATGACAGTTCTTCCCTTACTGTTTTAAGGAATTTCAGCTAATAATGATAATATATATGGTGCTTTTACATATTTTAGTATTATATTCAGGTTATTCACTGTGACAGTCTTCTCAATTCCTCTTTTATTTGTATGAAAAGAGATTGACTATTTCTTAGTGTCAGAAGTTCAAGAACCATTAGCCAGACCTTTCTGTCTTCCCTTAGAAACCTAAAAAAAGCTATTTTTAAAGACCATTGGGAAAACAGTGCCATCTGTTTCTCAATCCTGTGGGAAAGCTTTTCTTTGGAACTGTTTCTCTGTTTTACTCTTGTAATTTTTAACATGGTGGGGGCGACTTGCAGTGAAATCTCCTGCATGATCTGGTATTATTTGATTTGCAGAAATTATACAAAGAAGCTTATGAACAGTCCAAAGGAAACAAGATGAATTACTGTGAGACACCCAAATTCCAGACTGATGCTGCTCTGAAGAACTTTAGTGATGTAGGTATTTCACTTGGGGTTTGTTCTAGACTACTGACCCTCTTGATTACTTTTGCTTCTCAACTCATGGTTATTTTGGCAGATTAAATATAAAGATGCATATCAGAAGAATATTTTGGGGCACTACTTGGGCAGCTTTGAGGATCCTCATCAAATCCACTGCATGAAGGTTGAAGCTATGAAAAGTGATGTAAGTGTGGCAATTGTTTTGTTTTCCCCATCACTCTGGCAGCTCAGACAAAGCTCAGCTGTAGTTCCTTACTGAATGTTGCTCTTGTTCCTAGAAAAATTACAAAGCAGATTATGAGGAGGAAAAGACAAAGTGCTACTTCCCTCAGACCATAACTCAAGAGTATGAAGCAATCAAGAAGTTGGAGCAATGTAAAGATGTGAGTACAGGACAGCAGTTGTTCACCACAGAAAAATTAACTGAGTGATCCCTGGTAGCATCAATGATAATGAGTTTGGCCTCATTGCCATATGTGACTTTAAAAAAAAACAAAAAAAACCAACATTTTCATCTCTATTTTAGGGCCTTTTGTGACATCTAGTGATCAAAACAGATATAGCACAATCCTTTTTATGACAAGTAAACCCATAAAATAGGAGCAGTAGTACTAAAATGAAGAATGAACCTCAAGCATTCACCTGCTTAAATCAATATTTTTTCAAATTAATACTTTAAAAGTACTTAATTTATTAGTAATTTTATTTGTTTTATCAATACTTGGAAAATACTTTGTATGTGTTTTCTACAAATTTTTTAAATCTTCTTTCAGTACACCTACAAAAAGCATCCTGATCAAACCAAATTCACTTCAGTGATCGACTCTCCAGTACAAAAGCAAGCAGAAATCAACAGCAAACAGCTGAGTGATGTAAGTAAACTTTGGAAACGCTCTGACATTCCCAATTTCTGCCCTGTGCCCACCTTCACTTCATCCTCCAGCTTTAAGAGCACTCCTGAAATAATTGTGTAGGTGGCTGTGTGTATTCACAATTTTATTTCAGCAGTACATCACCTGGAAATCAGATTTTTAAAATAGTTTTTCAATTCACAGTCTATAAATTGGGCTGCTAAATATCTTCCTTTCTTTTTCTTTGCAGATATTGTATAAATCAAAAGGGGAAGAAATTATTCACAAGTACCACCTCCCTCCTGATGTGCCCCAGTTCATCCAGGCTAGAGTTAATGCCTACAACATCAGTGATGTGAGTATATTTTGAATTTCAACACCATGAAGATCTCCACTGATGGTATCAGTTTTATTGCTTTTGTGATGTTAAATTTTTTGGTGGCATTATCATCCTTCCAGGAATGAGATAAAAGCTGACATCTCCCTTAATAGCCTTGGAATTTTAATAATCTGACCAGACTGATAAAAAAGCCCAGCCAGGCTGCTATCTCCAGTTCCTTTGGAGCACAAATAGTGAGTTTGAAGCTAACAGGAAAAAATTTCTGAAGGTTCAGTCAAATGAAAAAGGGTTTTGCATAAGAAAGGCCAAAAAATGCCACTGATAGAGTTGTTCTAAATAAAAAATAAAAATGCTTGTGGAATTCATGATTATCTTTGTAGCAGGTTTATTCATTATAATAGAAGTGTAGTTTGTGTACAGGTTAACATTTTTCCTTGAGATTACATGGATGAAACTGGGTATTTAAATTCCTGTAATAAAATCTCCTGTAATAAAACATGGGATTAAAGTCTTTATTAGAATTGCCATTCCTGACACTGCAAACTCTTCCCTTTTTCCCCTCCAAGGCTAACTACAAAGCAGACTGGAAGAAAACCCTTGCCAAAGGCTATGATCTGAAACCAGATGCCATTCCAATTATTGCTGCTAAAGCTTCTCGGAATATTGCAAGTGATGTAAGTAGGATTTACATCCAGTGGAACACACACCCCTCCTGCATTCCATTAGTTATTATGATTTACCTGTGCTGGACACCTGTACTCCTGCTTTAGCAAAAGGTTACAAGTGACTCATCATTCCTCTCTTAAACATTCTCAATTGAATATTGGGATATTGAATTGTTTGGTGAGGCAGTTCAGTAATTGATTATTACCATAGTCTTAATTAAAAGCTGAACGTCCCTGGCACTTGCAAGCCTGTGTCAATGACAATGGTGAGGGAGAGCTTGTAGCTACAGGTGTGGGTTGAGATATGTACCAGGTATCAAGAAAAGCTGAAAAATCCAATAATCTTCTTCTTTTTTGACCTAAATGATCCTGTGCTGACATTAAAACCATTTATTAGGTTCTAGAATGAACTTCACATTAGGACCTTAAAACTCAGTGTTCTAAACCCATCCAAAGTGTGTTTTCTCTTTCCCAAGTGGGAAAAGCTTTTTTTCCTTTGTCTCTAGTACAAGTACAAGGAATCCTACGAGAAAGACAAAGGCAAACAGGTCGGGTACCGGAGCCTGCAGGATGATCCCAAACTTGTTCACTACATGAACGTGGCCAAAATCCAGTCGGATCGGGAATACAAGAAGGATTATGAAGTCACCAAGACCAAATATCACACTCCTCTGGATATGTTCAGCGTGACAGCTGCCAAGAAAGCCCAGGAAGTGGTGACAAACACTGGCTATAAGCAACCAATTCACCATTACACCCTCCTGCCTGATTCTGTGAACCTGGAGCTCTCCAAAAATGTGATGCAGCTTCAGAGTGATGTATGTCATCAATAATCAGCTCCATTTTTAATTCTCCTCAGGACTCTGTGACACCATTAATCTTTTAAGGCTGAATAATTAATTTATATAATCCAGTATATATTATATTGAATTAAGAGTAGGTTGGGATGTAAGTGACTGGCCTGGAGCCATTTGTTTTCCAAACATTATCCGAATTATGTGCAGCTATTGAGTTCTAGGAAACTTACCTAGCAAGTACAACTTTTTTTATATCTCTCCATATTTGGCATATTTCCAGAAAATTAGAGGTTTTTTACTAAATAATGTATTTCTGTAGTAAGATTTTAATTACTGTAATTTTATTTCTCTTAAATACTGACTCTATCATATTTAAATTTTCATTAAATCTAAATTTCCCCTCAAAAATGAATGTCCAGGGGAAGTTTTAAGGCTTCACCTGTTTTATGTGTATAGACACTAATTTTTCTTGCCTCACTGTGTTTTTCTTTTTTATTTTTGAAAAGAATCTGTACAAATCTGACTTCAATAACTGGCTGAGAGGAGTTGGCTGGGTCCCAATTCAGTCACTGGATGTAGAAAAGGCCAAGAAAGCCACGGAGATTCTCAGTGAGAAGAAATACCGCCAGCATCCCGACCAGCTCAAGTTCTCCATCCCTATGGATGCCATGGAACAAGTGCTGGCAAAGCAAAATGCCAAGACCATGAACAAGGTGGGAAGTTGTTGGATTTGGATCTTTGTCTTGTGAAGTTGTGGAGCAAGGTGCAATCCCACTGGAATTATTAAAATTTCCAGAGGGTGTGGTAGTTCCTTGGTTAAGACTGGGCTCTGAGAGATCATGGTAAGCCTCTGACTGCTCATAATGAAGGACGTTTCATTTTCTGTTTCTAAAGATTAAAGAATTCTTCTCCAGATTTATAGTGCTTTGATAATCCTTTTTTTTGTAGGACGTATTCACAATAAGTGAGCTACAGAAAACTGAATTCTGTCAGTTTTGTACAAATGTCCTGTAAAGTGGAGTTCTTTACACTTGTCTCTAGTTATCCAGGACACCAGTGATCCTTATTCCTTGTTTTCCATGAAAAGAATGTCTGTGAAAATAAATTCTGCTTCCCATTAATGCATGGAAGAGCACAGATGGGAAACTTCCAGCTTCAATATTTATTAATTATTAAAATATACTTCAAAAATGTATTAAAATACTAAAGAAAGGAGGAAGATAATGTTGCTCCTCAGCAGCTTTCTGAAGGCTATTTCTGGTGCTAATAATATTTCTAGGAAATACTATTTATTGCAAATGAGCAGAACAAATGCAAACTCTTATTTTATGAGTTCAATACCTTTTCAATGCTAACAATTCCTTTGTAATTGCAGAGGCTGTACACAGATAAGTGGAACAAAGAGAAGACCAGCATTCATGTGATGCCAGACACCCCAGAAATTCTGCAGTGCAAAGTGAACCAGATGACCATGAGTGATGTGAGTTGCTGTGCTCACCGCGGGCCTCCAGTGCCTCGCTGTCATTTTAATGCCTTGTTTGAAAATATTTCACTTCAGAGTTCTGCCTTCATCACACCTGTTCTCTTTCACATCTGACCTTAGAAACTTTACAAAGCTGGATGGGAGGAGGACAAGAAGAAGGGTTATGACTTGCAGCCAGATGCAATTCCAATAAAAGCAGCCAAGAGCTCCAGGGACATCGCGAGTGACGTGAGTCTGGTTGCGTGATGCCATTCTGTGACTTTATTTAAATTAAGTGACTAAACCTGAGATCTTGTGATCTGTTTGGAAAAAAAAAAAAAAAAAACAGTGATAAAACAGAGCTTAATATTGCATTTTCTAATTGAGGTTTTTGCTGTTCTTTCTCTTTCCTGCTCTCAGTATAAATACAAACTGGCCTACGAGAAGGCCAAAGGGAAGCACATCGGTTTCCGCAGCCTCGAGGACGACCCCAAGCTGGTGCACTTCATGCAGGTGGCCAAGATGCAATCTGACAGGGAGTACAAAAAGGGTTATGAGAAGGCCAAGACTAATTTCCACACTCCAGTTGACATGGTCAGCGTGGTGGCAGCCAAGAAGGCTCAGGAAGTGGCTACCAATGCAAACTACAAGAACTTAATCCACACCTACAATGTCCTGCCAGATGCTATGAGCATTGAATTGGCCAAAAACATGATGCAGTTACAAAGTGATGTAAGTAAGATGTTCTTCAGCCTCTGCAATGTGAACTGAAAGATGTTTAGCTTATGAAAAAACACTGTAAGAGAAATAGTATTTTGTTAGTGGAATTAGGTCAGGTGTCTGTGAAAAAGTAGTAAATTATACATGTTTTTCAACAATTACAGCAATTTTATTTTTCCTAGACTCTGAAATATTTCATTAATGAATTTGAGCTTAGAAATAAGCAATTTTATGAATATTTACTCCATCAGGCTCTTCAGGAGTATATAGTTACGTGCAAACCAAGACAGGAAAAGCTTCACTTTTCCTTAATACATTTTATCTTGTACTTCCAAATTTATCAACTATTTTATCTTTCATATTGGTTTTTATTTACTTTCTACCTGCAGAATCAATACAAAGCAGAGTATGATGAAACTATGAAGGGTGTTGGGTGGCTCCCACTGGGCTCCCTGGAAGCTGAGAAGAACAAAAAAGCCATGGAAATTGTGAGTGAGAAGAAATATCGCCAGCATCCAGACAAATTGAAGTACTCTGTTCCTATGGATTCCATGAACATGGTCTTGGCTTTAAATAACGCCAAAATCATGGATGAGGTAAGAAAGTGCTCATCAGAATTCATTTCAGAAGTGGGCAACAATCTACATCTGATTTAATAGTCAACCTTGTTGTATGCAGAGCTTTAGAAAACGTGATTTTGTTTTGTAGCTAATGAATGTGCTTTAAGTGCTAAAATAAAAAGATAAACGTTGCTGTTGTGGTAGTAACACATCATAGTCATGGCAGTTTGGATTTCAAGTGGAAAAAGTATTTTAAATAGTTTTATTTGATAATAACAACAGATGTTCAGGTCTCTCATTTTTTTTTAATCATTCCAGCACAAGTACAAACAAGCCTGGGAAGAAGACAAAAAGAAAATTCACATCACCCCAGATATTCCACAGATTGCTTTAGCAAAAGCAAACGCATTCAATTTAAGTGAAGTGAGTATTGTTTGTAAAGCTATGACCTTGCTCTTAGTTTTTGATTAGGAATAAGTAAGATGAGAGCGTGCAAAAGTCTCACCTTGCTAACCTGTAGTAATTTCACAAAACCTATTAATTTTCCTTTTCCCTGCTTCCTTCCCCAAATTAGATACCCAGAATTGCTAAGAAAAAGCCATGTTTGTAGTCAGGTTGTGAAGTGTTCATGAAGACCATTAAAATATAACTATTGCTAATGAAATACAGTAGACTTTGAGTACTGTTCATGTTTGCTACTGGATTTATTATTTTATTATTGATTATTTTATTTCTCCATGCACAAAGTTTTGTACAAGGTTCAAAATTGCAGGTAGCACCTGTTTTTTTTTGGTAAAAGATGACATTACAGACAGATTTTGGTAGCCAGTTGTTAAATCTGCATATGCTAAATAAAGTATTGCTTGTAATTATGCACATCTGCCATGTGAGCAGAAATAGACTTTTTGATCTCTTTATTTTTTAAGGTGACATCCTTATAGGTGTAACTTTTCACCAATATTTGTGCATGTGGAAAACACATAAATTTTTGCTTTTTTAAAAGATGCTTCTTGTTCCTTTTGTAGAAAATGTACAGATCTTCATTTGAGGAAACCAGGAAGAAAGGATATGATCTCAGGGCTGATGCTATTCCTGTCAAAGCTGCCAAAGCTTCCAGGGATATTGCCAGTGATGTAAGTTCTTGGGAGGAAAAATGGGCAGGGACAGCTTCCGCTATCCAGGGGTGCTCCAGCTGGCCTTGGACACTTCCAGGGATCCAGCCACACCTTCTCTGGGCATCCTGTGCCAGGGCCTCAGCAACCTCATAAGGAAGAATTTTCCCCTTAATTTCAAATCTCAATGAATCAAAGTCTCTGTTTCTGTTCTCTTTCAGTATAAATACAAATTAGGGTATGAAAAAGACAAGGGGAAACTCGTCGGCTTCCGCAGCCTCCAGGATGATCCCAAACTTGTCCATTGCATGCAAGTGGCCAAGATGCAGTCGGACAGGGAGTACAAGAAGGCCTATGAGGCGAGCAAGACTCATTACCAGACACCTTCTGATACCCTCAGCGTGGTGGCAGCCAAGGAGGCCCAGGACCGTGTCACCAACACCAACTACAAGCGCCTGATCCACCAGTACATGCTCCTGCCAGATGCCATGAGTCTGGAGCTGTACAGAAACATGAACCAGATCCAAAGTGATGTAAGTTTTCTTCTTGTGACTTTTGTTTTTACGTCGTACCCTCAGTTTGGAAAGGACAGGATTATCTTTTATGAGCTGTCTTCTTTTTGTGGCTTTTGTTTTTCCATCACAGCCGTGTTTTGGAAAGAACTGGATTGTTCTGTATGGGCTGTTTGTACATTGTCAGCTTTGCTTTTGTGTCCTGTTTGGCAGAATGAGTACAAGCAGGATTACAAGGAGTGGTTCAGGGGGATTGGTTGGAGTCCCGTTGGTTCTCTGGATGTGGAGAAATCAAAGAAAGCCACGGAGATTGCGAGCGATCGGAAGTACCGCCAGCACCCCAGCAAGTTCCCCTTCACCAAACAGAACGATGCCATGGACCTGGTCCTTGCAAAGCAGAATGCAAACATCATGAACAAAGTGAGTATTTAGGGGAAGAGCTATGTAGGCATTCACATCTCATCCATTCCAATAACCACTCAGTAAATCTCTATCACACCTTTATGTGGCAGCGTTCCCCTGAGAAAAACAATTGTCACAGGCTCCTTTCATCTTTTTTTCACTCAATAAAACAGCATTGCTTAAAGAAATCTTTTCTCATTTTTCTCCAGCCTCTATTCATCCCATTCTTTCATAGAAAATCTTGATAGTTTGCTTTCATTATAAGCAAGACTGGACAATAACTTAGGTGATTTTGGATTAGATCATTCATTCGTAAAATAATCTGAGTCAGCGCCTTCACCTTTTCACTCATTCATATCCAAATGGAAAGGTGAAAGCCCTGGAAGAACCATCTTTTGTCATTTATGTAATTTTTATCATTTTGTCATTTATGTCATTACACATCTGATGTAACTTTCTGTCCATAGCATGCTTATACCCAAGCCTGGGAGAAGGATAAAACTCAGGTCCATGTGATGCCAGACACACCAGATATTCTACAAGCCAAACAGAACAAGACAAACTACAGTCAGGTAGAGTATTTTGATACATTTTATCAACATTTTAAATTAATATCTACTGGAGATTCAGAACAAAGGCAAGAATTTCATGTGGGTAATATTTTCAGAGGAAAATAAGTACCAGCTTCAGGCTAGAAAACTAACAGACTAAATTGCATTGTAATGTGTGGAAAATATAAGTCCTGCTTTTGAAGTCTGGAAGTGCATAGTCCATACTCTATGCTTTGCATAGAATTCAGTCATGTTAAAAATTCCTTACTATAAAATTACAAGTTAATTGTGTATATTTTTAGCCTAACCTATGGGAAGAAGTTGATGCAGTGATTCCAGCTTTTCTCTCTGCTTTAAGATAGGAGAATTGTGCCAGTAGAAAACACTCAGGTTTTGCTTTGCTCAGAGGCAAATATTTGACTTAAGAATGACTGTAGTTAAAATCAAATGTGGACAAACTGGCTTGACTGTTAAATGGCTTCATGAAAACCTTATTAAAATTTTGCTAAGGCAATCAAAAAGTGTTCAGTTATCTCAGATGTATATGTTTCAAATTCTCCAGATGGGTTTCAAATCAAGATAAGCTACAGTAGGAAGCTGCTGAATAGTGACAAACTATTTAGTCCCTCTCCTAAGCCAGTTTCCTGTCTCAGTTCCCATTCTAGCACCCCTTCTCTCATCACTGAAGCCTATGAAGTGACCAGAATTTGGATTATTAGTGTATGTAAATAACAGGTGACATACATATTACTGGTTTTAATTAATATTGTTTTCAATTTTAGAAACTCTACAAACTTGACTGGGAGAAAATGATAAAGAAAGGCTATGACCTCACACCTGAAGCCATGTCAGTGAAAGCTGCCAAAGCTTCAAGGGACATTGCAAGTGATGTAAGCAGCATTTTAACTCAGTGTGACATGCACTGACCTGCTTGTTACAACCTACAGAGTCCCAGTAAATTGAGATACACCTCTCTGCTAAGGTGTGGCTTGGAGTCAAAACCAGCATTGCCTGAGTTGTTTGTGTCCACTTTAACAAGAGTTTCTCTGTCATTTTAACAAGCCCAAAGGTTGGTCCATTCATGGCTGGTCATAAAAATTGAGGAGTTTTCTGCTCTTTAGGCTGCTTCATTTTCAGAGCAGCAGCAAATATGGTCCAATTAGCTGAGCCCAGTGCCTATCCAGAGAAATACTCATTACATCTCTGAAACAGATGTGGTGACACATGGACTGCTGTTACCATAACTTGGTACAAATACAACTGCATTTCTTTTATCTTTAGGGATAGAGAATTTGTTAATTCTCAAAGATATTTTATTAATCATTAGGAAATGTTTCTTGGGCTTAAGTATCTTTGTATTTCATAATTTTCCATGTTGATAATGTTACTCATCAAAATGTTTCAGTGTGTCAGTATTAGGGAGCTCTGGGTCAGAGGGCACAGGAGACCATTCCTATTGCCACACTCTTCTCCTTTCCAAGGACTCTTTCTTTCCCAGGGAGAGCATTGACTTAGTGTATGACACCAAGTCATACACATTAGTCAAGGGGCTGCTGAAACTTTACATGAGAGGCCAGAACAAGTTGCTTATTCATAGAATCATAGAATCACAAAATGCTTTGGGTTGGAAAGGACATTAAGGATTATTCAATTCCACCCTTTCTGTGGGCAGGGCCACACTCTGCTATCCCAGGTTACTCCAAGCCCCATCCAACCTGGTCTTGGACACTTCCAGGGTAATTTCATGAGGAACATTAAGATGAGGGAATATATTGGTGTTGTGTCACTTACATGTTTGTCACTGTGGTTTGTGGTGCCACCTTTGCCATTGCAGTTCAAGTACAAGGAAGGATACCGCAAGCAGCAGGGACATCACATCGGATTCCGCAGCTTGCAGGATGACCCCAAGATGCTGTGGTCCATGCAAGTCGCTAAAATGCAGAGTGAGAGGGAGTACAAGAAAGACTTTGAGAAGTGGAAGACCAAGTTCAATATGCCTGTGGATATGCTGGGCTTCCTTCTGGCCAAGAAGTGCCAGGAGCTGGTCAGTGATGTGGACTACAAACACATTCTGCACCGCTGGACTTGTCTGCCAGACCAGGTCGATGTCACCGAGGCAAGGAGGGTCAACGAGCTGCAGAGTGATGTAAGCTCCCTGTGGGTTTAATTCACTTATTTCCATGCCAAATAATTACTGCTGACTGGAAGGTATCTTTGATGACTCACATTTGATATCAGTATACATCAGATTGGAGCTAAACTGACAGACTTTTCATAGGGTTTAATCAATGAACAGTGGAATAATCTGCTATGGTTTTGATTTTCACCCTTAACAGAACCTGTATAAGTCAGATCTACAGTGGCTCAGAGGCATTGGATGGAGTCCTTTGGGATCTCTGGAAGCTGAAAAGAACAAGAAAGCTTCTGAAATACTGAGTGACAAGAAGTACAGGCAGCACCCAGACACTATTAAGTTCACAAGTATCCCAGATGCCATGGATGTTGTTTTGGCAAAATCTAATGCCAAAAATAGGAGTGATGTAAGTTGCCTCTAGAGAAAGAATGTGGGATTCAATAAATGAATGCATGAATATGCATTTTAAAAAGGATCTTTGTTTCACAACATGCACTTAAAATATACAGATAGCAGGTGTTTATATTAGGGCCTCAATGCTCTTTGTGCCTTGTTCAGAAGATGAAGATCTTGATTGCAGATTATTTATTCAGCATAACTGCAAATAAGACCTTTAGTAGGCAGTATGTAAATATGTTGTTTTAATGCTGTTTCCTTGGCATTACATGGATGTAAAGAAGAAAAAAAGGCTCTATTTCAGTAAGAAGTCATTGTATTATTTGATTTTACTATCTTATCTTGTTTACATCCCTAATTCTTGCTTAGTACATCTTTCTTTGCTAATTCAGAGAAAAGGTGAACTGAAATTACTGCTGTGTAGGTGAATCTTGGATCAGACCAGGTTTTTGTTCGTGTCTCTTCCAGATACTCTACAGGGAAGCTTGGAACAAGGACAAGACTAAGGTTCACATCATGCCTGATACGCCTGAAATTTTATTGGCTAAATCAAACTTGATTAACACAAGTGATGTAAGTTTGCATTTGAACCTGGGTATAGACAATCACAAGGTTGTATTACTCACCTCTATAGAAAGCTCTGGGAATAATTCAATTGATGCATTCACTAAAAGAAAATTTTGATCTTCAATGAAATAGTCAGAAAACATTTAAATTGTAATTTTAAAATATTTTATATCCAAGGGTACAAAATACCTGTCATTAATAGCAAGGTATGGAGTTTAATTAATTAGGCTGTGTATGGAAACCCATGCTTTCTTTTCAGTAGACAGAAGTGGAAAGTTATAGTATTAAAAAACTCTCTAGAGAGTTTTATCTGCATTAATTCCTTTGAATCCTTCTCTAACAGAAACGTTACAAGGTAGGATATGAAGAGCTGAAGAAGAAAGGCTACGACCTCCCTCCTGATGCCATCCCCCTCCAGGCAGCCAAGGCATCCCGAGACATAGCCAGTGAGGTGGGTCTTGCAGAGGGAAAATCAGAGTGGGGCACAGAGGGGGCACACAATCTTGGATGAAAATAGTTCCTATTTAACAGGAGGAGATACATAAAATGTTAACACTGTTGTGTTGCTGCCCACCTTAAAGGTTGTGTAATTCTTAATGGTGTAAAGCTAATTAAATTAAGTACAATAATATAAAGATGATAGCCATGAAGAATCACATTATATCCCCTTGACGTTATAACAAATGCTAAAAACTTCAGAAAAAACAGAACCAAGTTAAAATATGTTAGATTCAACATGATTAACTACTTCATTAACAACAGAGAAACTGAAATGGCAGCTTGGAAAGAAGTGGTAATTGTTTCTTCTGTCTTCAATTAGTACAAGTACAAAACCGCATACAGAAAACAGCTGGGCCACCACATCGGGGCCAGGAACATCGAGGATGACCCCAAGATGATGTGGTCGATGCACGTGGCCAAGATCCAGAGTGACAGAGAGTACAAGAAGGACTTTGAGAAGTCCAAG